ATACCCCCCCCTGAATTTTCCCAACCCTCTCCCCAGTTTGTGAACTATGGTGCCATACAGCCCACCTTCACCCTCACGATGTCACCCTTCATCGGACCTGACATCCCCCCTTGTAAATTCGAACCCCCACCCCAATTTCAGTTCCTGGGGAGGCTACTGACTGGAGGGGTAGAGAAGCATTAAGGGGCAGAGCTGTATAATGGAAACAACTTGCACATGGCCTATGTGTAGGTGCTTGAACTCAGCTAATGCTTACATTTGGGCAGGGGAGGGGGAGAAATACAACTCAGACTCTGGAGAGAATAAAGGAGATAGATGTAAGTAAATATTCAGCAAGAGAAACATCAACTAATGGCACTACATGTACGGGTCCTTCTCCTGGGAGCTAAAGTAGTATGTGTTAAGAAGGTGGCATGGGATCAAACCACAACATTCTGATCTTAACGCTAGTGGCTCTGAATTTAGGAAAAATGTGGTTCTGGAGGAGTCCAGAATTTCATGTAATCTACATGCTGTGGCAAAATGGACAGAGCTTTGGCTTCCACGGTTTCAAACGCCCCTGCACCGCTGAGTCAGCACTCTTGCAGGCCTTTTCTCGCTGCTTGAAAGCCAGCTAAAGAAAGCAGCTTTGCAATTAGCACTGCCTGTTGGAAAGCTCTACCCTGACCACTGCACTGGTAATCTGAGCTATAAACGACTGGTCCTTGTGTCGCTCTAACCAACCATCCCGCTAACGGCTCTAACCATCCCACTGAGGCGTGCTTGAGGGGAGACACAAGCAACGTTTTACTAACGGTTGAAACTGGTCGCTTGCGAGCCTGGCCAGCTTTGCAATTAGCACTGCCTGTTGGAAAGCTCTACCCTGACCACTGCACTGGTAATCTGAGCTATAAACGACTGGTCCTTGTGTCGCTCTAACCAACCATCCCGCTAACGGCTCTAACCATCCCACTGAGGCGTGCTTGAGGGGAGACACAAGCAACGTTTTACTAACGGTTGAAACTGGTCGCTTGCGAGCCTGGCCAGCGGGACAGGAGCAGCAGCAGCAGCAGCAGGTTGGCAAGCACCAGGGCGCGGGGGCTGGGTGCAGAGAGACGCGCGCCGCTGGCTGGGCTCG